GATACCACAAATGTATCTGATGATGCCTATGACAGGCTTGTTGGATTATCGCTCAGGCTTCTCCACATTCAATCGGAACGCGGAGCAACATAGCCCATCAGCCGCCGGTGAAATTTGCACGGAGCTTGAGCAATGAGAATGGTTTCGCGCTCTTCACACGCCGAAAACTTGTAAGGAGCCGAGTAACACGGTATGAAGCGCAATTTTATCCATTCGTCCACCACACGTTAGGATCATAAGACACTGCAGTAGTAGTCCAGGGGACAAACTCAATCACTGTTGGTCCCGTGAATCCGTGATGATATAGATACTCCATCATGATATCTGTGATGGCGTCCGATGCAGATAGGCTTATCTGCTTCATCTGAGTTAAATTAGGGTTAGCACCATGATAGAACAGCTTCACAATGACCGGCAAAAAATGAACGAGCGGAAGGCGCAAGAGAGGCTGGATGACCAGCTCTGTTATTAGATGCTGGAGTAAGTATATGCTGACATCGTTCCCCTGAACCATTTTGGCAACGATGCCAAACTCGGGGGTACCTGATGGCTGAAGAGGATGGTGCCGCATGGTGGCGGAGCCGGCAACGTCTGATGCTATGATGGTTACGACATCATATGTGCATCAGGATGTGGCGCACGCGATGGTCGCGGTTCGCTGCGACTTACTTATGTCCGTCGCTGATACATATGAGCCAGAATTTTCTGGGCTGAGATTGCTGAGACGTAGCCGGGTATGAGAAGGATCTACCACCAAACTTGCACCAAAGCGCGTTGATTTGACGCGTCTAGGTGAATTTTCAAAGTCCGGTATTTCCTATTTTGGAATGTAGTTGAGTGAGTGGTATTACCAACTCGAAGAGAAGGCAGCTCTTTGCCTTCTCTTCCATAAAAATGATACTTGTCTACATATATATGGTACATATTAGCTGGCCTCTGTATACGACACATCGAACTTTTGATTTATAAATGACCCTAGTAGGCACTCTCGACCCTCTATACTAAGAGCGCTGCTGAGGTTTAGGACATGTTTTAAGACTGCAAGTGTTGGCGCTGCGCGCCGTAAGGTTTAGGTACAAGTCCCGTTTAGGACAGGTTTGGCGACGCTTAGCGTGAATTTGGCTCCCTTACGACTTGCGACATTTTAGAATTGAGCATCTCTCAACGCCTACTCTCACCATCGCCATAAGCTCACCGTAAGCATCAAACTTCTTTTTGACAAGCGAGAAAAATGGGTCATTTGCAGATGCTAGTAGCTCTTGTCACGGAACACATCGGCGAGGACATGTCCCTCTGCTGTTGGAGCACATGCAACCATTAACACGTGCGAATTCAAGCAGCTGTGCGAGGAGCTCGGTGTGCTAATCTGGTGTACCATATCAGTTCAGCATGGAACCTATCATCCAGATAATGACCTGACCCCACTTCCTCGCCGATGTCCGGATGTTCTACATACCCAGGTTGACCTCCAAACCAGACGTTGGACATTCCAGACCTGGAAACGTAAATAGGACATTTGGGTCAATTGCTGTCCAGATCGCAAACTGAGGACCAGGGTTCCATACTAGGCATTTCCTGATCAATCATCATCAGAAGTTCAAACTTCAGACGTCATACGTGGACGTCATTTGCAGGGTAACGACCGGTTCTATCAGGCTTTAATACGAGTCGTTTTTTTGGGACATGACATCAAGCTCATTCGCCCAGCTTGCAATCGCACGATATGATTTCGAGAGCTCCTGCGACTTCAAACTTGCACCTGGAACCAGGCGAGGATGAGGTAACTCTAGCAAAGCTAGGATACAAGCAGGAGTTTCGCAGGGAATTCACTCCGCTAGAGGTGGGCTTGATATCAGATTCTTTTGTGTACATGACATCATACAACTGCTGTACAGGTATCTGGACTTGCATTCAGCTATATAGGAGTGGTACCTTCTATAGTGTAAGCCGTCGCCGTGACGCAAGCCTGTTGACATCGCTCTTTACTGATAGAAATCTATTTCAGCTCCGTGTTCTTTTATGCCCTACCAAATGGTGGGCCTTTCGCTATGGTTTGGGGGGTAAGCTTTTATCATATATCAAGATTGCTGTGTTGTAAAGATCTCATGTTTCCTCTGCGCAGTGGGCAATTGCTTGCCCTTTTATCATGTGCATCGGGTTGGCACTGGGAGAACTCGCGTCAGCAGCGCCTACTTCCGGTGGCGTACGTCCTTAACCCTGTGTCCGTTTTACACCTGACTCAGCAACGTCTAGCTATACTATTGGACTTACTCCCTTGCGTCTCCACGGTGCCGCAATTTCTGTGTTGGATAGTTGGCTGTAAGTCTTGCATTTCTATATGAGACGCAGCCCGTCATGGCATCTGCAGATTCGAACACCATAGAATCTATAGCGGGAGAGTCGGTAAGACGATTTTCATTCTTTCAACAGTCTGGCTCTCATTGTGTGGGATTAGCTTCGGTAAATTGGGCGTGCGCGATTCAAATCACAGCCGCAATCAGTATCGCCTCTGGTCAACCATATGCGACTACTAATGCGAAGATCTAGTGAGCCCGTCCTCTTTCAAACACCCCAACGTTCATAATGATTGTCACAGCGGTATATACGCAGCTGTAATGTTGTCACAAGCCGTCCTCGTGAGCCTCGGTACCAAAGTCTTGGCAAGACTGCAGTCACTGTATACGTTTGGTGAATTTGTGGTAGGTGTTGTGTATTTGTCCATGATCTTTGCTTCAAAATCCTTCTACAGCCTGTGCTTCATAGTCATTATCGCGCTTCCGATCGCAACACCATCAGAATATCGAAACAGTGCAAGTTTTGCGCTAGGGAATTTCACAAATCGTACGTATCGTCTTCCGATTACAATCGCAACTTATGATCAGTTATAGTGGATGGCTGGCCATCTGGATTCGCATTTATATTGAGCTTAATGGCTCCTCTTTGGACAATAGGTTAGATAATCTTCTCTCGAATTTTCAGTACGTGACCGTGTTACACCCACCAAGGGGGTTATGATGCTAGCGTCCACATGAGCGAGGAGGCTTCGAACGCCGCTACCGCAATACCATGGGCGATCGTAAGTGACACTAGAAAATGAACTGTTGTTGTGTTTACCCCAGTTAGACCAGTTCCATTATTATTGCGGCCGTCCTGGGTTGGGGTATGTGGAACAACGCGTCATTCTGATCTTGATGACATCTTCTCGTCTAGTCATCAACGTTGTCCTTGCCTTTTGCATGGGCACTGATCTCGACGGCATCTTAAATAGCCCTTTAGGTCAGCCCTTGGCCCAGATCTTTTACAATTCGCTCGGGCAGAGAATGGCCTTAGTTTTTTGGTGTTTCATTATCTCAGCCCAGTACGTCTTAGCGGCATGTGGCGCATTGATAGGCTAATCACAAAGCAGATACATGGTGTCATCGAACTGTCTCCTGGTCGGCTCTCGCCAGACGTTTGCATTTGCTCGTGATGGAGCCCTCCCATTTTCACGATATTTGTACCGGATCAATGGCTACACACACACACCAGTCAATACAGTTTGGTTCGACGCCGCCTGTGCTCTGTTAATTGGACTTCTCGCGTTCGTGAGCACCCAAGCCGTCAATGCGGTATTCACAATTGGTGTCACCGCGTCGTATATCTCCTACATAACGCCTATCACGACCCGTTTCGTGTTTAATAACAACTTTAAACCCGGCCCATTCCACCTTGGGAAATTTGTGAGTTGGTCGATAGGGATGTACTAGTATTCCTGAGTTAACATGCCTGTGCAGAGTTTTCCGATCTCTGCGATCGCTGTGACAGGGATGGTGTTCATGAACATCGTTTTCTTCTTTCCCTCCACCCCCCAAACAACCGCACAGGAGATGAACTATACAGTTGTGGTCCTTGGAGGGTTCATGTTCCTTGCGATTTCGTGGTATTATTTCCCGGTGTACGGAGGCGTGCATTGGTTCAATGGACCCATAGCCAACATTACACCGGCTATCACATGTGAAAACAGAGATGAGGATTCGATGTCGGAGAAGGAAGAACGTGATGCAGAAGTTATTGATGTATAAGTGGTGTTCGCGTAGTGGTCGGTATACTGGAATGATATAGATTTCAACAGGTTTCAAAAGGACTGATTATCCAATATTTCGCAATCTTTTCCGTCTCAGCTCCCTCCTTGCTTACATAGTCATTGGTGTTCCTATACTAGGGCTGAGGCAACAGCCCACAGGACGCATATGTTATAGTGCCATATATGCTTACCATAGAATAGATAGCTACCTTGCAAGCATTTGGTTCCTCAGTGTACTCTTTGACATTTCCAGTATGACGACGCAGATGATCAAAGGAATACATGTCATTGTGAATATTGGTCTTTTCGATAGCTTAAAGTCGGCATCACATCGCGCTGCCAGCACGGTAAACAACTCCCAAGTCAGTGGTGCGGGAGGTGGTTGCGGGGTTCAAGAGACGATTGATCGAACAAAGTCTGCTTCGATAACCCAAACCACGTCAGCGTAAGCCCTCCAATGGACTACATATATATATTGCTCCAAGGACCAAATGCCATCACGGTCGTCTAAATCGATCAAGCGCCGATGGTTGGCGCGCCTCCATCTGACCCTTCTCGATAGCCTTCGCCACGCGCTTTTCCTCCCGTTGCTTCTCCAGTTTTGCACGAATAGCAACCTATATTTGCAGAGGTACGAACATGAGCATAGATCAATGAACAGGGCGAGTGACCGAGGCTTACCGCAGTGGGATCGATGACGTTCTTGCGCTGCTTCCGGAGATATCTGGGTTTCGGACACGATAAGTGATAGGCTGCATAATGCCTCGCATAAAATGGTACCTTTTGACACTCTTGCCCTTGCCGCGCATTTTCCGCTTCTCTTTCTCCGCTCGTGACTGCGGTTTGTCATTCTTGTCCCCTTCGCCTTCTGCAGCGTCCTCGTCGTCATCATCAACAAGCTTCCGTTTCATCCGCTTTACCCTGGATGCGTAGTCTTTCGAGGCGAGGGAGACGACCGAAGGGAATGTCATGCGTGTCGTTGACAGCAGTCGTTAATTTTGTCGTCGGAGCGAGGGATCCGACAAAATCGGGGTCCAGTGCGATCATATCCGGTTGAATCTAAATCGATAGTTAGTCCCTATCAGCATCATTCAGGAGCGAACCATAAGTTGAGCATACCTTGTCCAACAGACCTTTGACTTCTCTCTCCCTTCTTGCCTTTTTGTTCTCGAATGGATCGGCTTCCGTGCTATCGAAGTTTGGCTCGCCAACACCAGGCACGAGAATGCTCGACAGACCAGGCATTGTGTCCAATCGTAAGGATATCCTGGAAGGGGCAAAATCGTACCGAAGTAAGCGGTCGATGTGGTATTGGGTGAGTGAGGTAAAGTGGTGGCGGAGCTTTTGCCGCATGCGGGGTCTGTATTGACGGTTTTGTGTAAATCTGGCACGCGACGAATTAGTACCATCACAAGCAAGAGTGCGGTAACCCACGTTGACACTTCCACCTACTGCCACGCCTAACGCGCCCCTTGCACTCCATTCTAGCTCAGCGCCACCACCTCTTGTCGTCCACTCCCGCACAGTGCCCTTCCAATTCCGACAGTCCCAGACCTTTACGACACCATCCTGGCCTGACGTTGCCATAAAACGCCCACCGGAGCTCTGATCGACGCTCAGACCCACAACTGGACCGAGATGTGCTAATATTTGTACAGCAGGATGGGGCAGGTTTGGCGTCCAGAGGCTGACAACGCCATTAGAGTGACCGAGGTGTAACACTGCGTTGTGTTTATTTTGTGCTAGTGTATTACATGCGCCAAGCTTGGTTCGATGCTCTGCAACGATGTGACCTGTGGAGGTGTCTTGATATTTTAGAAATCCAGTATTTCCCTACTATGGACTGAGCTGGCACAAGTTTATATTGAGTTGGAATAACTGACCACACTAGCGAGCAACCAGTGATATGGAAGAAATTCTAGTCGCGTAGGTTCGATGTGAGCTTTCAATCGGTGTAGTTCGACACCATCGCGGTCGTATATAAATACATATTTTTTTTGGGCGACTGCAAAGAATGATTGATCCTGCAAGAATCTGTAATGAAAGATTGAGAGTTTCTGCATGTAAGGGACAATTGGCGTACGTGATATCACGACATGTTTCCTGCAGCTGAAGCTCAGCATGCATGGTTCCTGTTTGCCAGTCAAAAGTCGCGACATGACCCATGCTGCCGACAATAGGCAAGATGTCTGCCATTCCTCGAGTATCTCGAGCGATATGGACCACCATCCAACTTCAGCTCCCGTCGTCCCTTGGCAGCCTCCTGACCAGCACCTTGCCACAATGTCATCTTGACCTATTCTCCACGTTCGTTCTAGCTCGTTCTCCACCTGCATTTTCCCTGCCTCGCTCGCCAATAACAGCTCAGCATCTTCGACGAGTGCTTTTGACCGCGCAACATGAACTGCCTGGCGGTTTAATTTGGTTCTTAGCTTGAGATCCTTGATGTGCTTATGCTTTGGGACATTGTCTGGTGGTGGAGAGGTGGGACGCAGGGATTTCGGCAGGGACGTATGTTGTGCCTTAACAAACAAGGAATCCATGGAAGACACCATTCGTCAGGTTAGAAAGTGTGAAGTGCTCCTCGAGTGCTCTCTTACAAAATTGAAAGTATTGATCTTGCTGACTAAGCTAGACTTCTCTCCGAGGACCGAGGGTTGTCCGTTGAAGTCAAAAATTCAAAAAAATCATTCACCACTGTCTACGAGCTCTATTCAACGTACATTTCTTTCACAACCTATCTAAAAACCTGCTATCATGTGGACTGCCGAAGAAATTGATGCAGACCATGAAAAACATCGTAGTAAGTACATCCGAGGAACGGCTGACGACACCAGCGCTATTATATTGTCGGACAGTAACCGGGAAGGAGACTCCCCCCCTCTCCTACATGCAACGTTTTTAGATGAGATTATTGAGAGAGAGAACAGCAAAACTTACATCAAGCTACCTCCTTGGCGCCTCCGTCCTCGAAAAATTGATGCCTTAGGCACTGAAGAGCATGCGAGTAGGGCAGAATATGATCCGAGGCCTGCAATACGTCACGAGAAGGAGCATCCTTCGAAATACCATTCCAGCACATCGAGACATCATGGAAAGGTCAAACGCTGCCACCACGAGGGTCATACTTGTATGTATATGATAAGTCGAGGGTCGCGAAGGTTGTCGTGAAGCAGCAGTGCCGTTTGGATTTCATCAAGGAAAAGGGTGGGTAATCGGGTGACGAGGTGGCACAGCTCTTTGCTGATCCCTGTAGTGAGACGTCGAGGACATACTCTATGGCAATTTAGTGGGTCTACCGATCCTTCATCCGGTCAGCCCAGCGTCCAATGCCTTCCGCTGATGTAGGATGTCTGGACTCGGCCATCTCCTCCACTGTCCAACCTTCCTCGATCAGCTCCGAAACTCTTTCTTTCATGTCTTTGTTGATAATGTTGCCTGTACGGCGTCGTTAATGAGTCTTCTGTGAGGCTAGAGCGGGTGTGTGATGCGAGGATAATTTTTCTGAAATTTCCTATTTTCAATTTTTGGATATGCGAACCTGATCGGACGACCCAGACAACAATTTCCGAATGCAACGGCCAGGTGCCGCGTCACGACCGCGTAATTTTCACCTAGCCCCCACGACACTGGTGCCGCACACCCCCTTTTGAGTGCTTGCCACATCAGCTTGTCATGACTTCACAGTTCTTTTCGAGTCTGGTGATTATCATGCATTTGGCTCAACCGTTTTGCCTTAAGTAGGGCATCTCAGCAGCAAAGCGATGAACGCCTTTACGTTCACACTGGAAGTATAAAACCTTTGCTTGCTCCAATGGCTTTGCCTCATTCCCTTCCACAAACTCCATCATGTTTACTTCCCGCTCCATCATTTTTGCACTGCTCAGCTCCCTCGCTGGTGTCAATGCGTGTATACAGTGCCCAGGCTCATTGAAGGTCGACGGCAGTGTCTCACACCTGTCCAGTACCAACCCATTCGACCAGTTCACATTTTGCTTGTACGTGTGTCGAACCCACACATCTTCATTGAACAAATTAACTGATACGCTGGCAGTTACACAAATGCCAACTTGTCAGGTGGCGATTCATCAGTAGCCTGTGAGTATGACAACGTAAGTGCTTTCTGGATATCCTCATTGTTCTCGGTGACATGCTAGCGATCATCAGGAGACCGCCAATCTTTTATTTGGGTATGAGTCTTGTCCGGTTACAGCAACTATGAAGAATAACTGCTGAATGTGATCTGAAGAGGCGGGGGCGACGAGACATCCAACAGGAGAAGCAATGTTCGTCTGCAGACAGCCGGGTGTACACTAGTACTTAGACACTATCTGTTACGAGAATTGCCAAATCAGTTGCATCATCCCAATCCCCTATTAGAATACTCTCCCCCCAGGTGATGGTAAGCGGTTACAATAATCCCGCAAATCGGCCTATCAACGTCATGGTAAACAATGCTGTTTTTGATACTCCTCCTTCACAATACCTTATACCTCACCCGTTCACAGGATGATGGATCCGAGAATCTTACGACTGGGCTCCGGTCGTCACCTTACTCGACAGCTCTCCTTCGATAGCTAAATCCGAGTCTAGCCGAGCTTGCAGAGTGTAGTCTACGAGTAGAAGTGTACTAGGCAGACCACCCCTATGCACGCGTGCTGCAGTCCACCGTCTCCGAAGATAGGGCGCCGCTACAACGGGAGGGAGGGGCTAGTAATGCGGGAGGCAGCGGTTTCGAGCCTGCGAAAGCTCTCGTCAGGGGGCTTGCCGCTGCCCCGACCGCTTGTACTTCTAGTTCTACGTAGGAACTCTTCCTTTTAAGCATGTTTGGGCAGGAGTAAACGGTCCGTGCCTTATTGTTAAGGGTAGGCTGCGATAGCCGTTACGGACTCATGACCTGCCTTGAAAAGAAAGGTACACCTAAGGTGGGTTGTCTAACATATGTAAGGACGGAACGGTTGGTCCCGCGCTCTAGACCTTTAAGATCCTACGAACGACATATACCAATACAGGGGCCTAGCCTTTCGGCGTAGCCCCTGAACTTTCTCGGGTTCCATATAGGTAACTACGTTAGTCATAGACGTGAAGCTGTGGCAGCTTAAAGTTCAGATTTGGCTGCGCAAAATACCTTTTTTCGCATGGCTTATATTCAGAATTGACGTGGTGACTGCTTGTCGGCCGCGTGATAAGCTCAGTAAAATTTAAAGCCAAGCAGGGCCGAGTTAAATACTACTAACCAGTATCACACTCGCGAGTGCACAAGACACCTTGCTGTCAGCTTTTTTTCGATTCCAATTTTTTGTCCACTGAGAGTGAAACTCTATGTAGGACAGTACTATCTAGTCTTGGGACCCCATGTCCCAACCCCGACCGCTGTCAGCTTGGCAAATGAAAAGTTCGGGGTCGAAGGAGGTGATCCTTCAAGTTATCATGGTGGGATGTATGAAGTCGGGAGTTATGGCTTCATTCTGGTACAATCGAGAAGAGGAACACAAATGAGATAGAGTCACATGAGACGGTCAGTCTCCCGTATGCAGACCGTATACGGTTACCATGATACCTTTCGAGCATACTATGTGAATAAGTACGCAGATCACCATGCCTTCGAGATTGCTTTCTAATTCTCTCGACACTTTTTCGAGTTTTATTATCTGTTGGTACTTAGCGCACAATGACATCCCTTTCTGCATCTTTTTCATCTTACCCGCCTGAATCGCCATTCTCAACACGCATCCGACTTTTCGAAGAACGACTTTGATCCACTTGCCAAGTAAAAAGCCCCAAGAAGGTACAATAAGTGAACTAAGTGCAAACAAAGATCCGTTGCTTTCCTGATGCTCCGACTGAGGGGGACATGCAGAAGGCATTGAAACCGGTGGTCAAGATGAGAGACAGTTCCTTTGGTCGACATAATATATGATATTCAATCTGTTGAAATCGGGCCACGGATAACCAAAACTACCATAGAATCGGATACTACTATACAAATGATTCACGGGTCGCGGACCCTACAAACATCTACGAGCAAAGGATATATTCATAACGAAGAGTAAACTGACGGGTAGAAAGAAGGCTGGGATCATAAACACAGTGGTCGAATAGCATCTGCAGGAAGTGACTGCCACCATACGTATTTGTTCGATACCTGAACGTGCAACTCAATTGATCTGAATTTGAAGTACTTGATTCTTCCCTGCTTCGGTTTCCAGCCCAGTCCTCGAAGCAAGCGTCATGAGGTGGATGACATTGGTAGGGTCAAAGTCCTCCAAGTCTCCGAAGCTGCATAGCGTGCCAGTCCGTTGATACTGGTGTCCTCATAACTTGGAGAAACACATTTCCAGGCTTCTTTGAGTCTTCCACAGGAGTGTAGAGCGCAGCAGCACAGGTGATAATCACCACAACGGCCAGAGGCACGAGGAGGAAAAGAGAGGTTGATCCACTGTATTCATATCCCATTGACCCCACATGAGTTACACCAGTGTACTCGGCCATGGAGGTGTTGTTCATTCGCTGGAGCTCCACTTGCCACACCTATAAATCAAGAACATGTAGTCAAGTGCTAGATGAAAACAGTGGCAACTTGCCGTTCCGAGGAATTCGATAGCCCCTCTTAGGTAGTTTTCCTACTTCGTGTCAGCGACGACAGTTCCTATACCGATGTATGCCTGAAACACTCACCAACGCGAAGTTTAAAATATCACTGTTCATTGTACGATAACCATCATAGGCATCACCGATAAATTTAATACCAGCTGCCATGGAATTTCCAGAAAGACCCTGCGTATCAAATATCATGTACCAGATGAGATTTGAAATCTGGTCTATGTAAGCAGCTTGATGCCCTGCTGAGTCTAACGGCTCAGAATTCGTGGTATCGTCGATGTTCACGGTAATCCCATCGAATTCGACATTGACTGTTGTAATACGAGGGGAAACTTGACAAATCGTGGGTGTGATTATTTGGCGCAGGGATCGAACTTCCCGGTGATTCACTCCAATACAAACCCGCAGATGGATTGACATCGGGTGCATTGAGGAACGCCTGTTGTCGGCATTGGACTTCCGCACTAAGGCCTTTCTGGACCGTCGTATAGCTTTGACTCCATCCTGTATACTCGGATGGGATGCTTGGACCAGCAAGTTGCGTCATCATCGAGGCAGTTGTGTATATACCCCCTAAGCCTCGTGTCACATGTTGGCCTTAGGCATACATGACGATCACCATACCTGTTGAACCATTATACAGTGCGCCCATATAGGGCATGTCGTACGGTGAACCTAGTTCAGTCGTGGCTGCCACATTTCCGGCTTGAAGATACATATTCACATCCGCAAGGCCCCAGTTTTGCACTGCCGGTATAAATGTCGTTTAGTTTAAATGTGACCGCCGAGTGAAGAGATGTACTACCGCTTGCTGCATTCATGTTGGTAACGAGGGGGGAACTTTCACTAGGATACGGAGTAAGTTTCCCTTTCCAGATAGCTTGGAGTTGGGCGGCGGCAGCGGAGTAATCCACCTGTGTGCCCGTAAAATGAAACTGGAGGTTCATAGGTGTTGGGGTCAAAAAACTAGACCAACTACCAAGATTGCGCATTAGTAATGAAAAGTATATGAAGATGAATCATTAGTTACCTCGACGTGAGCGATCCGCATAACACGGCATACAGCGATGTGTATGCCAGCCATGTCCAGTACTCCCTGTCGCTGGGTGCAATGATATGCTTTCTTCCACCGCACATGCATGCCAAGGATTTTATCCAGGCCCAGGAGATCTTGAGTCCACGTACACCGATGAGGATTTGTCCTGTTACAAAGGAAAGACTTCCTCGCAATGCTTGCAACGACAGGGTGTCACTCATTCGTGCTCTCAGAGCTACCTGAAGTACGAGGCCGAGGAGACTGTAAAGCAATGGGTGAATCCTTAGCACGTTTAAATCGTGACGACAGGAGAACGCACAGTGTATTCAGGAAAGAAATACCTGTCGCAACAAGTGTTACCACGTAGCTTGTTATGCGTGGGTTATCAATCACAGCTCTTGCAGCTCTACTGGGCAGGTTGACGTGACCTCTGATATGAACATGGATCGCAAACCACAAAGCAACAGTGAAGATAACAACTTGGAGGAAAACACAACATGCCAGCTTCCCGTTAAAAAAATTCTGAACTGCACAGTGGCGCATAATCCTCGATGCGCCTCTCTGTACACGAAAAATAGAGGGGGGGAGCAGGTATTGAAGATGTCCTTGTCGCAGTTAAAAACGGAAGACCTGTCTGCAGTGAGTTGAGACTAATCGCGGATTGCCATGTGTATGTAACCGCATCAGAAGGCGGTTTTAATTTTTCATGAGACGCGCCAAGAGTGCTTGTTCATGAGCGTGCTTCTGCTCACAACAAGGCGAGTAGTCGGGACGCTTCTTGATCCCAGACCAATTGGCACCCAGACCAGGACCCCGAAAAATCCTAGTCAACGCAGCGCCCAACGGCGTCAAAACCGGACTTACTTTCACCCAGAAACCTCGGGTCTATCTGGGAAATCTATCCCCCGATACTGAACCTAAACAAATGGTACCCAGAAAACTACGTAGCATGAGCTTTGGCTCTAAATCGCTTGCTTCTCGGAACCCATCCCCTACGATGCCAGGAGGACCCTCTACAAAACATCGCAGTGCGTGTCTCTCGCTATTTTTCTGTTACCCGTTCTCATTCACCCTGCCACAGAATGCTTTTAAACGTGATAACAGAAGTGGCGGAAAATCGGATGTGCTAGAATAGTAACATTGTTTTTTTATTTACCACCTTGAGACGCGCTAACATACATTAAGCCTGGATGATACTGTTTACTTTTACTATTTGTTTATCTGCTACAACCTTTCCATTCGCTGTATTTCACAAATCCAAGCACAGTATTCCAGTGACTGTCTGTGGCGCCAAAAGAAGTCGTCAAAACTACTTGAGCTGGATACCGCGAGAGCTTGCGGGAAGCGGAGATAGTCCATGAGAACTTCAGCTTCAGAAGTGGAGTCAGAACTCTAAACTTCTTGCCAATCCAGCTTCTTCTCGATTGCTGAACACGGCTCTTGCCACAAAGTATTTTCCAGTAAGTATCTCCGATATCCACTCCCACGCAAAGAGAGCTCCCTGGATGGATACCTGGGAATTTGAATCGCATGCCATCTTTGACTGCCAAAGGTGGCATGCCATCAGGAGTGCGAAGACGATGACCACACCAGAAACAACTTTCTTCTTACTGCAATGGTATTCTCGGCGGCAGCCTGATAATCCACAGTTCGAATTTTAAATGCCGTCATGTTATTGCCTGAAGCGCCGACTTTGTCGGCACCGACGTCGACTTCACATCCCAAGGCAAGCGAGGAGTCGAATGGCAGGCACTTGTTGTGTCTGCTGCCTGTCCACGCGATCACATGATGCGGCTTCATTATCGGGCAGCAAGAAACCTTGTAAGCCACTTGCAAGCAAGGTAATCCCTTCGCCAGGTGTATTCACTTGGCAAGTGAAATCCGTTGGACAATCAATTCATCCAAATGAGAAGCTGCAGCTTCTCATCGCTGACAAGGCGGCTCCTCGCGCACAGTCGCCGCTGACTCGGAACGCTGGACAAAGTAAAACCTCTGCAGCAGGGCCGATGGCTTGGGAAACCGCTCACAGTAATAAGTATCGGAGCTGTGATGGCTCAAAGCCAAGGACCTGCTGCCCCGATCTGAATTGGTATGTAATCGTCTCGTTTGTATAAAAGCATCCTAGAAATTTCAATGTAGTGCATTAACGAAGTAGTCACTCCTCTTATCCATAAACATGCAATTTTTACTTCTCTTCAGCGTGCTCACATCTATCGTGACCTAGTAGCAGCTGTTGGCAAATAAGCATCCTGTTCTACCTTTTTGGCTATTCGAGCCTACATGTTCATTAGAGATCGCATCACGCGCCGATGAATCTGCTGTGCTTGACGCAGCGCCTTATGGGCTTCCCTCTCGCAGGACATACGAGTAACTGATATCATAATACATGTCATTCATGCATCTAATCCTGGCACGCGAACAGTCTACATGGCAGTATAGTGCGAGAATGACTCTGAAGTTGTAGTCGGCAGCCTGCGCAGATTTGCACGACAAAGACCCAGAAAATGAGTTCTTCTCGTAAGTTGTTGTTACATGCTGTTAGCGAGTACTGCAAGCATGGTTGAAAGTTCCTTCCAATTATACTGCGTCTATGTTTTTTTTGCTAGCTGTGAAAAAAAATTGGGTTCGGTTCGCGTTCGAACCGAAAAAAAACCGAACCTGACCATTTTGAACCATTCGCAAAGGTCCAGTTTGAGGTTCGGCGAGTCTAGTAGAACCGGACCTAGGTTCGGTTCTCGGTTCTTGCTCAACCCTCTATGAACCGGACCAAACCGGACTGCGGCAGCACTAGTCGCAGTAAAGACTCTACATAATCCCTGATCACGCCTATAAACTGATCGTTATGAATACGGTGTCGCGCAAAGACCTTCAGCTGGATTAGAGAGTCCTTTTGGTAGCCACTTGACCACAAACACTATTTAGTATAGACAAGCAAGTAACCAAAGGGCTGCACTCACCAATGATACTCATTCTCCCATCGTAGTGAATGTCCTCTTTGTGTCTTTGTGACACTGCTTATCTTATCATCTACCTCAATCTGCACGAAGAAACGATCATCCCAGGATGTGAGCTCATTCTTTGGAAGGTGGTGAACGATGATATCTAAGAGGTGAATATGAGGGCTCAAGAGAGGAGGTCTGCCGCTTTACGGACTAGAGATACATAGCTGAGCCTTTGTCACTTCCGCTGCCTCTTCAGGAGGGAGTTTCCTCCTTGACATCCTGGAATTTCAATGTTGTAATATTTGGGCGCTAATTATCGTGGCATCAGTCAGTGCCGATGGCGGGTTGTTTTTGCGATAGTCGCTCTGGAAATCCGACCCAAGTTGAGAAGAATGAGATGTTGAAGCAACTGAAGTACGCAGTTTCCCTAATGAACCTCACTGAGTGAAGCGCACACAAGAACTTGTACCAGGAGGACGTTTGCGCGTGTTAAAATTTGGGAAGACAGAATAAGGATGAGGAAAACAGGGTGTCAGTAAATGTAACTTTAACCGCTGCATTACACATATAGATCAGTGGCTGGTAAATGCATGTCGTAGATTAAAAGGGCAAGTATGGAAATATGTGGTAGTACTGGATAGGCCCTTTGGAATTCGGCGTTAAACTGCTAGCTGAATTCGCGCACCTCAGGCAGCACTTCTCGGTGCCTATAAAGGGTCTCACAGACCCAGTTTCTATGTTATGGGAAACTGGTCTCTGAGACCCCCCCTCCCGCCATCTAATTATAGTTCGTGCTCTTGCATTCCCTCGCGGGCCTCCAGCACCTCCTTTAACCCTCTCAATCGGCCTCTAGGACCACTCAATACAGTACTTCCAGCCTCTCAAAGCCACTCCCTATAGTAGCCTCCCGCATCTCTCAGTAGGCCTCTCACAGGCAAGAAGCGCTACACTTTGTCCAGTGTCATGTGTACCTACTACTACTAGCATCATGGCTTTTACATAAGGGAAGTATTCAAATTGTCACGGTGTTGGAATAAGTCCCATGCTGGTACCATCCTGCATCACATGTGTCTTAATACAGGTATACTGTATCATGTTAAATACAGTTACAATCTACTGGTAGCACATTCGCCACTCCCCAGCAAGAATGCACTGGGCAACCAAGTATCATCCTCCACCTGGGGGCTCGGGAAACATTTTGTCAGTCCCTGCAAGTCTCGAGACCAGAGAAAAACTCAAACCTTCAGTCACTATCCCTGGCGCGGATGTCAAATGCCACCAGCTTGCCTTATGCATGCAAGCACTCATCAATCCAACCTCACCAGATGGTACTGCCACTACCGCACTTGATTCGAGCAGTTCTAACATTGATGTAACCATGGACATATCGAACAACGATAACGAATGGGTATATGAACCAGACCACAATACACCTGAACTTCATCTACCCTCTCTAAGTCAGTGTGACATACCACAGGTTTTGGAGACACAGTCAATTGAGCCCCAGCGCCGCATCCTCCCTGACAAGACATCATGCAAGCTCTATGGAACTTGGATAGAAATAATCCCCACATTAATCGAACCTCTCTTGATGTATCTCGCAAGAACAGTTGGCCAGCCACTTGAGAAGTTGAATTCCACTATATCCGCATGTGCTACAAATTCATGCGCTCAAAAGCGCACAACAATTGTTTGTCTCTTCTTTGACCATAAGTGTAGTCAGACTTGTCATCCAGGCTTACTACTACTCAACTTCAGGATTTGTCTTGACTGATGTCCTGAGCTGCGATTGCTCCACACTCCCACAAGTTCTCATACATCATGGCTTATTCCCCACTGCGCCCTTGCAGCCAAGGATAGCAGTGTCTCTTGAACTGCTGTCCTTTTATCGAGCCCTATTTGAACATTCCTGTAACACCATCAATGCACTTGCAGCTGCATTGAAAACTCATTATACTCGACGAGGATTCCAATTAACAGACTCGCATGTAAGTCTATGGTTCAGATGCTTGTGATATTGTTAACTATCCGAGTTACAGGGAAACATTATTCAGGAACCTTTCAGAAGAAGTCTTGGAAGTGCCATTCAGTGGTATGATATCCTCCAGATTGAGATGGAGCAGAAGATTGAAGCAGCAATTCTGCAAGCTTGTGACCAAATCCGTGCCTCTTACGAGCCCTCACTTCCCTCTCATCATCCTCCAGCGACCTCTCACAAGCCTCCAGCGACCTCTCACGAGCCTCCATCGACCTCTCAAGACACTCAAGTTTCTACCTTACACAGGGCACATACTGCAGTCACTTTACCCTCGTATAAAACATACAGCCGAGGTTGAAATATCCCTGTTCTACACAGGCCACCTGACGTGGGCCCATCAATGTATCTTTGTGTTAAATACAGGTGGGCCGGTCTCAAGTGTGTATCTGATACAAACAGGGAGCCCATAGTATGTGGTGTAGTAGATAAGTGTAGACTTTTCTATTGACTTTGGTAGGTAGTGTATGAAGTATGTACCTGATACCGACAGGTGGGCCAGTCTCAAGTGTGTATCTGATACAAACAGTGGGCCCATAGTATGTAGTGCAGATAAGTGTAGACTTTTCTATTGATTTTGGTAGGTAGTGTATGAAGTATGTACCTGATACCAACAGGTGGGCCAATAGTCCAAAGTGTGGAGTTTGCTATTGCATTTGATAGGCAATATACAAGAGCTATATATGTATGTATATATATATATATGTATGATGGAAACAAGTGGGCCGAGTGGGCAGTGGTACTGATATATACAGATGGGCTGAAAGTGTTCATAGACTAGCTTCCATAATATACATGCCAAGACCACCTCGGTCAAAGGACATTTGGTCAAATATGATGGATGAGGGATTACCAGGAATTGATCCATAATATAAATGCCAAGACCACCCCAGTCAATACACTCAGTCAAATACAACTTGGTCAACAGACATTCAGTCAAATATGATGGATGAGGGATCTACCAGGATCCGATGCATAAGATACATGCTAAGAGCACCTCGGTTAAATATGACTCGGTCAAAAGACACTCGGTCAAGAGACATTTGGGTAAATACGACTCGGTCAAATATGACTCGGTCAAAAGACACTTGGGTAAATATGACTCGGTCAAATATGACTTGGT